AACAAAGGTGAAGAGAGGTGAGAGCGTACTGCCTTCTGACGCACAAAGAGGAACAGAGGTGATTTCTTGCCTTTAGTAAAAGAGGAAAAAAGCAGTGGTTTTAAACCTCTTTTCCTCCCGTTTTCACTCTTTCTTTGTCTCACAGATGGAAAAAGTGGAGCAGAAAATTGCTTTGCCCAAAGCCACACACTGGCAGTAATTGAACTAGCGGACAGCATTGGTTTAAATAGAAAATGTGCAATACTTTCATACTATTCAGGCTATTCTAACTGCTATTTCTCTCTCTTGCCCACATACACCATTTACTTTTCAACTGTAATTGCACAGCACTTCTGGTAGCAGAATCTTATAGGCATTCCCAAATGTTGAGTTGCTTTCAAGGACCTTCAAGAAAATAAGAAGGAATAGGAGATACCAAATTCATTATATTCTTAAGAGAGAGCCTCAAATTTTGGGTGCTGTTTTCCCAAGAGATTAAGGAGGCAGCTCTGATTTCTGTTCTTGTCCAGCAGTTGTGACCCTGATTTCTAATATAAAGCAGTTGCTGGGTCTAGAGAGTCCAGCGTCTCTGTGTTGTGCAATACACCAAACATTTTGTTTAGTGTATTGTTGGTTTGTTGTCATTGTTTTGCTCCATGTACAGTCTTAAGTAGCAACACACTGAAAAACCCCCTCAATACACATTTATTAGATGAGAATTGAGACACAAAGAAGTTAAGAAATTAAGCCAGTGACACAGGGCTTTGGTGGCAGACCTCAGGTAATGCCTGTGGACTTCTGGAGCCCGCTCTAGCCCTCTGTAGCATACTGCCACTCCAGCTTCAGAAGAGAACATCATGTGTTTGGAGGAGACCATATAACAGACTATTAGAGACTAAAAGCAGAAAATAATGGAAGCTTAAAAGATTCATACCTCCTTCTCCAAAAAAGCTGGTTTTATACCAGAGGTGAGATTGAGGTTCACCAGATCATACTTTTAAATCCAAGTAGATGCCTTAGGCTGATGGAACTGACTTTGTTCTCAAGGAGGGGCTGAATAACAGTGGTCACGTTGCGTCACAATAAGGAAAGAAACTTTCTTGCAGCTTTTGTGGTAAGTGACATGAGATAACACAGCTGCATTAAAGGGCCTGATGAAAAATGCCACAAAGGCTGGCTAATATCCAGCAGCCCACCACCAAACGGGTGCCATTTCAACACGGGGAAGCAACGGTCTGCAGGAGCTGTTACGTGCAAAATCTTGTTATGGACAAAAAGAAACCCACCCTACGTGTAAAGCCACACAAAATTTATTGTTAGTATAACGGCAATCTTAGCAGTCTAATCAAAGAATTATTATTAATCCAGATCTAATTATTGCAGAAAAGGAAAGGAAATAAAAACAAAGAAATTGCATAGAAAGTCTCAGTAATAATCCTGCAGTTAAAATCGTTATGCGTACCTACCCCTTCTCCTGGTGTCATGCTTACCCTTTCACCTCCCCGTGGCTTCCATCTGGTGGAGGCAGTGCAGTGGTTCATCAGCATCAAGTCCTGTGCCTGTAGGAATATGATGTTGGTGTTTATGTTTTCTTCTTTCTTTCCTTTTTCCTCTTTTGGAAATAGCTCTCACCTGGGGCTATTTTTAAAAGTTTTACACCTTGTTTTTTCTTCACTTGTCCGCAACTCTGTGATTTGTATTTTATCTTAAGATACTTGTTCTTTCTTCTTTTTTTTACCCCTAAGACTAGTTTTGTCCAGCTCCAGGTCTGCATTTCTTTGACTGTAGGGAAGTTGTTTATAGCCTTGGGGTCTTCAGCACCGGCCTCTGCCCCATCTCTTATCATCCCATCCCTCTCCTCTACGCTGCAGCTGGTGTCTTCTCAAGGTCGCTGCTGTTCCAACAGGCCTTTATTTCTCTACACTGTAGCATTATGTTAGAGTCATAAATATATTGTTCTACAGAGGATAACTACTTATTATTAATATGTATATAAAAACTGTGGTTACACCATACAAAGCAAAAGTAAAACAAGTTAGCCATAGTCTCCTGTCATTACAAAAACTGTTGTTACAGCTAAATCAAGTAAAACCACAGCTCCAAGAAGATCAGGGAAATTTCAGACAAAGTACATATGACAAGCCTCTGTCCTGAGGTCTTGTAAACTCAATAGGCGGTGGACTGTTACTGGCAATAGCAATACAGTCACAGTATTGTTACTGGTATTACTGGGCTACATGCTGTTCATTACCTTCCAATTCTGGATTAATATTTGTATGTGGCATACTGTATGTAGCAGCAGAGGTAAATAGTTCCCCAAAGGGCACGGGAAGGAAGCAGGAACACTGTTAACTAGAAAACAAGCAATTGTACCTGAACTCGTTAGTTTTATGAGCACAGTTCATAGTCCACACACCCTCGGCTTAGACACAACTGGGTGTGTACACTGCAAACAAGGTCGCAAAAACCCCATACAACAATTACTGTGTGACAGTTGAATTGGAGGCCCCACTACAGTAGCAGAATGATGACTCCTCATTTTATAGTTTACTTCAAGGAAGTGGGGAATATTAAGCACCTTCTAATAGATATTATCTAAGTATAGAACAGGATAATTATCTGAGCTTTTGTCTAGTCATAGAATAGAAACTATTTAAAGCAGTGTCAGGTCATCTGTTTAAAGGATATATTCATGGCAGAAAGGAATGAGTATTTGGCTCTGAAAAAATAATTTTAATCAATTTTTTCATCAGTATGGTCCATCATGTTATTCAGAAATGGCTTCTTTCAGTAAATGGATTGTGGATCAATAATAGATATAAATAAAGCAGTACAAAGGGCACAGCATTCAACAAGCTGCCAGTCTTTGGAGTAAAAGACTGCAGGAATCAGTATCCCAAAATGGATACACGAATAAATCAGAAATGGGCAGATAATACAAAAAGATGTCACCTTTTTACAGAAACGCCAGAGTTCTGTCTTGTCCCAAGAACCACTGAAATATACATAAGTTTGTATGTATTCACTAAACATTTTGTGTCTCATCCCTCTTAGAATTTGCAGAGTTCTTGAAATATAGAGAATGAATTGTCAGGCTGCCAAAGATCTTTCCGGAGCCAGGAAAAAAAAAGAAAAAATTAAAACCTGCAGACTTTGTATTATACCTCAAAGGATCAATTCTTGAGATATACTGAATACCTGCAATTCCTGTAAGGTCAGTGAAAAGTGGTATTACTCAGCACTTTTTAGGATTTGTCCTCCAACAGAAAGAGGAATAAAAAAAGTTTTTTCAAGCACAGAGATCATAATGAATTTGTATTAGTTATTCACATCAGGACAATCTTATTTAATTGTCACTAGTAAGAACTTAGAATATGACTCATTGTGTCTATCATAACTATTAATTATTAATGAACAAATATGTCATTTGGGACCTAGCTAATATTTCAAGGCCATTTGTGTGAATAGTTGTTTTCAACTGTGAGAGCACCAATTGCCAGGAATTCAACATCCTTAGGTATTTCATAATTATTAACCATACATTACGTTAATCTGAAAAATCTCATTACTCTTATCAAAACTATGAGCTTTGTATCTGTTCAAAGAATGTGATTCTCATGGCACAGTTTGAGCCTGCTGATTACCCATTCAGTTATGTTTTTTAAAAAAATAAAGATACAGACAGAATATTTGTAACTACTGACCCACAATTTAAGATTGCACAAACTGGCAGGCTCACTAATCACGAAGTTTTACATCTTTTCCAGAAGAATTTATTATTTAAATGGGAATTCTGGATAATTACTGCAAATTGCCCAATTTCACTTTGAACCCTTCTAAATTGCTGACTTTAAAAACCATGATGCTGCAGTAAAAGAGAAGCTTAACTCACAGGATGAATGCACTTGAATCAGTTTTGAATTTGCCATATTTTAATGTAGCTGTTCGGTTCTCACTGCCTTACAAGGCAGAATTTCCCATTATGGCTTCTTAACACCATCTGTTAATAATGTTTATTACAGTACTGCATAGAGGGTCAGCTGGGAATGGCGCCCCAAATGTGCCATCACTGTATATAAAAGAAATATAAGCTAGTCTCTGCCTGGCGGATTCAACAGACAAAGAGCTGGAAGGAAGTAATAGGGGCAGAAGGAACAATGAGACGGCAGCATACATCGTACCATTTTTATTTTGTTTTCATTTTAATATTTCAGTCTTTTTCCTGAGGCTGTGTTATGAAAGAATCGAGTAGACAACAAGACCAAGGTAACAAGGACACAGACCAAGCTATAGCAAGCAGCCCATCAAAACACATCAGAGGAGATTCAGAGTGCAAACTTCAAGAAAGCAATGCAGCGGTACTGCCTTGACTTCAGTTTCTAGATGAGCCTCACTTCTTCTTCCCTCTACAGCCCATGTTCAGTCCTAGCACTACTTTACACATCCCACCCTTACACACTGTGGATGAGGGGGGTGGACTTTCTTATTTAGTACCTCTCTCAACGAGGCTAAAAATCCAGTGAATTTGTGCTTTCAATATATTTGTTAGCTAAAAAGAAAACAGAAAGACAAAAATTGTCTGACTCAGGAAATCTGGGAACAATGACGTACATCTACAGCATTCTCTTTTTTTAATCTATAAACTTTGCTTCCTCAAGCATATTTTACAGTAGCTAATACGTGTTATACTTTTGACATTATTTTGTAGTAAGAAATGTATGCATTACCCCATTTTTGTTAATAAAGTCTTCCAAATGATACACCTTGATTGGATGAATCTTAACAATTACTTTGAGCACACTTCAGATGAATACGGACATAAAACACATACTCATTATTGCAAAGCAGTCTCAGGCATCCTTCTGTTTAATGTGATTGGCAACACCAGTACAGATGAGTGAAAGTCTTCCTTATACTGTACCTCCCAGACCATTTAAGTATATTAATGCTTAGAAATGAAAAAAAGGACAACAGTGGCAAGCCAGTACTGTTCCCAGAAACTCTCTTTTTTTTTTTTTTGGTCAAAATTCAATCAGATGAGTGTAAGGTCCATTTGTATCCAGTTTTAACACCTGCCTGTTTCCATATGTGCCATGTTTGACGAGAACACCTGCTTCCACGCATTTGGCATTGGCAGCCAGTTCTTTTTCACACGCAGTCACAAACTGAGAATAAAGTTCCAGCCCTTTCTCTTTTTCAATGTTTGCATGGTACTGCATCTTTCTTCCCTTCAGTTTACCGCCTAGGGTAGCTTGAGGTATGATTAGCACATTGCCTGGTAAATCAAGAACAGAAACGTACTCGCCGCTTTCATTTTCACTTAATTTAACATTCAACAGCGTATTGACTGCAAATAAACATAAAATAAGAGTTAGTGTAACTAAAGTAAATTAAATAGGCTTTAATATAACGTCATAAACAAGATTCAACAAATATTGTGATGCGTGACAAGCTATTCAAGAAGAAGAAACTGCTTATTAATGACGTGAAACATGGACAGTCAATAAATACTCTCACCCAACAAAGATGTCTGAGTATTATGAAGAACGTGAAGGACATTAACATAATATGTCTAAAGAGTTATTTAGGGGGGAAAGTGGTTGACTCTTTGAAATCCTAAAGTTGATTCTAGTTGGACACCCCTAAAGGAACCCAGAATCCAATTAGTGACCACAGTACACATTGTAGGAGATAACACCACCTCCAGTGCACTTTGGAGAAGTTTCTGCCCTGACTTTTTTTTCATTCTAGTTGCAGCAGCTTGCAGCAGGGCCCAGCACTGACCTGCGCTGAAGCCACAGCTCAGCAGTTTGGTCTCAAATGGAGTGAGTGCCCTTTAGCGCTCCGCTTTGAGATGTGCAGGTGCCACCTTGTCTTCTGAGAGACGAAACGGGCAGGAAGGTCCGAGATGCAACTTGGCTCATAAGCCAGAATATATAAACTTGCAAATAAAATCGATGCATTTACTAGCATTATATTTTCCAATGTTTTTATAACAAATCAAGTAATTCCCCCAAAACTTCCTCCAGCTCTGTAAAAGCTGTGAGGATACTAGTCATGCCTCCAAACCCACAAAAGTTTAATGTTGTTTGAAGCAAAAAGAGCTGACTTGCAAATCAGGAACCAAAACCACTCATTTAAGCAGTTTCAAAAGACATTTAGGAAAAAATATTATGTAAGACAGACACTTAACAAGGATGGACATAGATGAATCTCCTAACACAAAACAGAACTTTCTTTTTCTGGCCTGCTTCAGCTGCCACACAGCTGAAAAGGTCATTATTTTCAAGTGACCCTCTCATGATACTCTCACAAGCACAAAATCCATTTTCATATCATAGCTTTAAATATACCCAAAGATTTCAACTTAGTTTAGCATCACAGAAAGACTGTGCCCTCCAAGACCAAGAGAGAACCCCCAGGAGCTGTCCTCAGCATTTTCAATAGCACCTGTGCTTGCACACTGCCAGATCTTTCTGCTGGTCCCAGCACCTAGCCTGAAATAGACTATTGTTATGACCTTTTGCGAAACCACTAATATCAGCCAGCCACCAAAAAAAAAAGGGGGCATTTTTATCTGGAGTGCATGGCATCACGGAATTTCCTCCGTGATCCAGTGCTACTGATGAGGAAAGGAGGGAGAAGTAGTGAAATAAAATTAAAAAAGAAAACAAAAACAAAAACAAAAAACTCAAGCCAAAACAAGAGTGGATGAAGACAGAAATCACTATCATTTGACCTTATTCACAGCATCTTTTCTGCTTTGATGTAAATGTTAAAGTGCATATGGAGAAGCGGGAGAGAACTGCAGATATTGCTGTTATGACTTCTGAACCAGAAAACTGCACTTGAAATGCTAACCGTGTATATAGTATCTATGAAATGAGATGGAAAGGACACTGTTTAGTTATCCACCCAACTCCCTCTACTGGCTATAATTTTAAATATCTTGCACATACAGTGAGGTCAGTGTTAAAATACTCTGAAATCAAGCCATGAATTATTTGAAAACAGTTTTCTCTAAATTCAGTTCTGTTCTGGACTGAACCTGTTGCTTGATACATGTAATATGTCAAACAGCAGGTGCAGCACTTTCTGTTTGCTCGAATGTTATCATCATGTGAATTGATTTTCTAACAGGTAGATGGACAGAGTGAGAGGTACGGATGACTGTCAAAAGAAACAAGACCAACCAAGCTGTTCTTTCAGCCAGGTGATTGATTTGGAATGACGCTATCTGATGGCTTTTTGACTTCTTCTTGTCCAAATGGTTGCTGCCTTCTCTGCCTCTACTGCTTTTCTTCTTTTTCAAACAGCACAAGAACTTACAAGGATTGTATCATACCAATTTTTGGAACAAGATCTTCATCAGCACCTTTGAAGAAGCATATGTAGATAACAAGCCCTCTCTGGATCTACAAAAGATTACAGAAAACTGTGTCAGTGTTTCTCATTGTCCACCATGCAAACTTATCATTAAAACTGGTATCAAAAATAACAAAACTACACAACAAAAAAGCTTCTGAGAGTAGTTTTAGCTATTGAGTATAGCTTCAGACATCAGGTTTACACACCATGCTGTGGCAGCTTATGAGATACATACTGATTATCTGCACAGTGCTTCTACATACAATTACGCCAATTTATTAGCTCCATGTGAAGGCAAATTTAGTTAGAATGTACAATGCACAGTATTAACATAGACAAGGTGACAAGATGAATTAGCATACCTAAATCCAACATATGAAAAAATTTAAGCTTTTTCCCTATCAAACATACAGATAAAATAATATCCAGTCTGAGTTACGAGTTTCCAATTATGAAACACAACAAACACCACAGAACTTGTCAGTGCACTGCATCATATTTTGATGTTAAAAGTTATTTAGTACAGGATAATTCTGAAAAAACACAGAATCTGTTAATTAATGATTTAAATATGATGATCAACAACTATGAAGTTGTTCAGAATATTATTAATCAGTTTGGGTGAAATCTTTTTTTAGTGAAATGGGACCTTTCTCCTGATTTGTATACAGTAAAGGATATGCCACTTCTTTAACATTCAGAGAAACTACTTATCAGAAATATCTATTTGAGGGAAGAATTAGGTCTGTACTGAGGAGAAATCACAAGGAAATTCTTGTGTAGCTTTTCTGTTCTCTCGGGTAGTTCACAAGGAATGCGTGTGCAACAGCCTGTGCTTTATTAAGGCAAGCTGATAGGCTCTGCAGCTAATAGCAATTATATCTCACGCATAAGATGAGTGTACCTGAGTGGTTTAACTTCTTCAGGAAAAAAAAGAAAGGCATACAATATCCAAAGACATACAGTATCTAAAAAACCCTCACCACTGCTTTATCAAGAATAAGTATATTTATATTTTTGTTAGAAGAAAAATAAATGTCAGCTTATGAAATACCACCTAAGAGACGCTAACTAGATTGGGGCAGGAAGGAGTCATTAATATCAATGTTATCAAAGCAAAAGGATAAGAAATGTAAAAAGAGAAATGTGAAAAGTTTCTTTAAAATACTGGGGTTTAAATTTTCCTCTCTTTTCTTTTTTTTTTTTTTCATTTTTCCTTTCCCCTTTTCTTTAAAAGACAAAGGTTTTTGGTGAAGAAAACTTAGCTATACACATGAGATTTTATCCCTTTCTTATTGCAGAGATTAAACAAGATGCTCAAGGCAATGACTGAGAAGAGCTATGCCTTATCAACTATTTTTCTAGTGACTAACTTCTGAAAAAGAGAATGCTCTTTTTAGCCAAAATATCACATGCTGAGAACTTCCAAAAGCTTTAAATGGCTCCTTTCAAAACTCATTTTGACCACTGCAGCATATTATACAGGTTCCCAAATGACTGCCATATTTCATAAACACTGTAAGAAATTTGACGGCCTGAACCTCAAATGACATTTCAAACCATCTGTTCAAATAAGGGAGAGAAATGCAGGCTGCCAGCAGTTCAATATCCTTACATGTTTAGCTACGTATTCGTTCCAGAAGCAGGCCGGCATCAGAATGTTAACAGAGAATACCAATGCACACTTACCTACTAATAAAAATGTTTCAGATAAAATATGCCAAGCACATTTACATTGTATATATCTGAACACTGCATTAGAAACAAGTGACTACGTGATATAGCACACATAAAAGAAAATCATTCTAATTCTGAGACTTGTGACTGTTTTTTGCACAGTCTCACATACAGAAGTAACAATATTCTGCAAGCAGCTCATTTAAAAAGACAAAAAGGTAAATAAAGTGACATGTGCAAATCCTAAGGCCAGACAGCTAAAGATTAAGTAAAAACATTCATTATTTTTCCAGCCTCTTGCATGATTTGATGCCTATTTTTGAATATACTTTTTATCACAAGATGAGACGTACATATTGAGGGAAATTAGAGGGAAAGGAGGTTAAATGGAAAAAAAAAACTAATTTGGAGACAAGTTAAAGCTGCTAGAGGATGCTTCTATTTGTATTGCATGTTTCTGATCTTCTAGAACACTTTTCAACCCTGTTATAGTTGAAAACTATTCAACTATTTGTAAGCTGAAACTTACAATTTCAACTATGACTGAAAACTGTGGTTGAACACAACACAATGTGTATTTCCAACACACTTGCAATCATGTTTCAACCTCATTATGTCTGACTTTTTTGCTCTTTCATTTTCTTAATTGAATAGAAGATGTAAAATTGAATGCAATTTCAAGAGCTAAGCTAACAATAATGCATGTCAGTCCTCCGATCTTATATCAGTGTTTCAGATGTCCTAAGATTCCTGCTTGTTGCCAGTGTAAAGAATGGGAACACGCAAACATTTTGAACCAAAGCAAAAACATTGCCATTGCTGAGGGTCCTCTGTAACCTATCAAAGTCTAGTTGACTGCTCTTCAGACCTATATTCAACACAGGAAAAGTCAAGGAAAATAACACAAATAAGAAGGTTACAGATTCAACACGCTGATGCGCAAACAGCCACTGCAAGGAACTTACGTAGTGACAGGCAGACAGTTGGGCAGGGAAACTGTGCTCTATGTGGATTTGCTGTTACCAGTAAAATGCCTACATAAATAAACCAGCAAAGCAAGTTACTTTGCAACACTGGCATTTATTATACAACTGTCCTAAGTAATCATCAGACCAGGCAACCAGCATCATGAAGGACTGAAGTACCCAGCCCCTAAGGCCATACAGACAGCCTTAGCAATACTGCCTCTAAACACTGCTTTTTAGCTCTTTTACAGGAAAAATAAATAGCTAACTCCTCCCTCACCCTCCTTACTAAATACATTTGTCTGAATTTTGCAGGATATCATTAGGAAACCCCAAATATATTCTGCAAAATGTTAACTCTATCTTTTTTATCTTTTCTTTTCTCCCCCCCTCCCCCCGAAAATGTAATGCAACTCATAATGAAAATGGAGACACTTTGTAATCCTTAAGAAGCCAGTTTGTGAAACTAACTTATATAAATTATTCTTTGACATTTCAATTTCAAGTTCAGATTTGCTACACTCTGAGAAGATTTCTTCGTATTTCATATAATCAGTTGCAGCAAAGAGAGATTACATCATCTACCACAGGTCACAGAACAAGCCCATGCCTGGTACTTTGCACCTCTTTTTGCTATCTTAACCAGAAAACAAATCAAGGGAAAGAAGATAAGGCAAAGACAGTTTTCATTGCATGAAGTGTAGGCACTTATTCTTTTTAGCTGAATATTCATTTTACATTTATTTTCTCCCATAGTTGTGAAATACACCAAATCTCACCTTATTTCTCCCCTGCCTTTAAAAGAAGAATTCCCTTTTTTCCTCCTAAGCATTTTGCTGTATACATAAACCTTTTATGGAGAAATGTTGGTTAGATAGCATCCATAAACAAGCCATCCCATCCCCAGTAATCATGCACAGGCCAGAAAAAAAATCATGAAAACGCAATGAAGGCAATGATTCATGTACAGATATAAAGTACACTCCAAACCTTTTTCCAGATAAAGAACATCCGCTCTAAAGTTCCTTAAGTACTTACAGGGGTCTCTTAAAGCTCAGGAGTTATTCAAAGCCACCTACATAATGTGCTATATACAGCACACCAGGAATTTCTCAAGGTGAGGACCTACTTTTAAGTTGTTAGAGATCATCAGGAACACACTCATTGATGTAAATAAATGTTTATGAGGTCTATATTTTTTATTTTTGCATTGACACGCATATGTAGGGAGTAACATTACCATACCGGAAAATGTCAGCAGCAAAGATTCCTTCCAATGACCTCTAAAGTAGTCATACTAAAGAAACTACAAACTTCCCATGTTATTTTGCTGCACAGTGACTGGTTCTTGTTACAACAGATTTCTTCTAAAAAGATCCAGGTACCCAGGAAAGATTCCTAACTGCCCATGACAAAAATTAGTAAGGTTCATGTCTGAAAAATATCTGCTGCTGAGACTGCCCAAATCTCTTGCAGGTTCCTTTAGTGCAATCTATTACTTTTGCAGTGATTTGGGTTAAGCCATTTAAAACTTCAAATAAGAAATATAAACAACATAACTTCCTTGTAGGAGTCCTGGTATCTCTAAATCATAAAATAAGTCTCTTTTTGGATAGTTCAAAAGATAGCCAGCAAAATGAAATTTCTGCTTTTATTTACTAGATCTACAATTACTTCTGAAATTAGCAAGCTAGAAATAGGATATTTCACCTAAAGTTAACTTAAGCTGCGCTGAGCAACTTCCACTTTAATTAACCTTACACTGACAGGCTAATAATGCAATACACATAGATGCGCTTCAGCCAAACACAGCATCTGTGAGATGACACGCATTTCCTTTGAGCAAAACGTTCTGTTTTCCCAGACCATGCTGCAAAAACTAGGTCTTATGGGTCCACCTGCCTCTTCCGAACAAGGAGAAAAACGTTTTAAGAACGATGTGAAAGTCAAACAGTGGAAACACCTAGGGACAGGCCTTTTTTTTAAAAAAAAACTCTCTTCAGAGTTGTTGAACGAACTCATAAGCCCTTTAAACATGCTAGAATTTTTACTTTTAAAAAAGATATGTGCATAACTATATTTAGTCCTTTTTGTTGAAGTAGTCTTTAAGACAAGAGACAAAATGAAATAAACCCAGGGCTAAATAGTTGACACCAGCATAGATGAGTTATTCTAATATAGGTTACCCATCAACAGTGACAACTAGAGTGGCACAGTGCACCCTGAAGGACAGCCTTCATGCTTTGGTAAAGAGTCCTGGGCATAGCACACAGCCCAGAGAGTCTGCAGACCCACCTGCCTCTCCCAACAGAAGACTATGGGAGGTCAAAGGGGAAATTACAACATTTTCCTCAAGCTGTGTGGTGGTCTGCATCCTAAATTTCATTTTTTAGTTAGTGGTCTGAAAAAAAAAAATACTGTCAGAACTACTACTGCCATACTGGCAGGTTGCTCTACCTGGCCTTTCTTCTCCAAGTGTACACTATCACACAGTTAATGAGGTACGCAGCTGAGCCCAACAGACCAATTTGTAGCAAGTCTGTGAAACGGTATTTAAGAAGGGGCAGATAATAACAAAAAGGAAAAAGCAGGGGAGAGGAGGAAGAAAGGAAAAAGAGGGGGAGGGGGGAAAAAAAGAAAAAAAAAAAAAAAAAAAAGAAAGCAGCAGGGGGAAAGGTGGTGATCCATGGTGGAGCAGCTATGCTCCTGAAGGGTCTGGAGCCTGTGGAAGACCCGTGGTGGAGCACAGGGAAGGAATAAGCAGGAGCAGCAGAGGAAAAGCACCGACCCCACCTCCTCTGCTGCTCCTTTGCCTGAAGGAACCGAGTGTGACCCCCGGTGACAACCGGGAGGAAGGACAGGGAGGGCCCTGGAGGGGGGCAGGAGAGCTGTGTGAAGCTTAGCCTGGAAAAGGAGGGGTGTTTTACTCAAATGTCTAAGTATTTGGGTTTTTCTTTTTGTGGTTTGCCCTCTTTCCCCCCCAGTCACTAATTAAATATTTACGTTAACTGGCAAGAAATTAAATTCCCCAAGTTAAGTCCGTGTTGCCTGTGACGGTAACCGGCAACTGTTTTCCCTGACTTTACTCTGACGCACTAGTTTTGGTTTTGTTCTATTTTAACTCCTTTTGCTCCCGTTTCGCCCGGTGCGGCCCGAGCGGAGAGGAGCGGCGGGGCGGGCGCGGTGCCGCTTGCAGGGCAGCCGGCTCTCTCAGAGGCGAACCTCAGCCCAGACAGCCTGCGGGGGCT